CCAGGGGATTGAATCCCGACAGTCTGCCCAGGTGCGTGTGTGTGTGTGTGTGTGTGTGTGTGTGTGAGAGAGAGAGAGAGAGAGAGAGAGAGAGAGAGAGAGAGAGCCACAGCTTCAGAGGGGTTGCTCCTTATGATACTGAGTTGGATCTGAATTACGGATCTAAGGCTCCCAGCTGCAGTGTTGGGAGGTGCCGAGAGAGAGAGAGAGAGAGAGAGAGAGAGAGAGAGAGAGAGAGAGAGAGAGAGAGAGAGAGAGAACTGAACTTTTTTTTATTCACAGTTTTCATTCACAGCTTCAGAGGGGTTGCATCTGAGTTTCGGATGTAAGGCTCCCAACTGCAGATTTGACGGGCCGTAGCTGTCGATCCGAATTACAGGTTCGTGGCCGCCGATCTAAATTACAGCTGCGTAACGCTTCCAGCCTCCTCGTTATGCATTCCAATCTCTATCTCGTAGACGGGAAACTGGAGGGGTAAATCAACTACCCTCTTCACCCGAATAGAACGCCCGGCCTCCTTTCGGGCAAATTCCAGTGCAGATGCAGGGAAAATGACCGGGCGTTCTATTCGGTGACGACATCAGACGCCGCAAGGATCGGCGATGGCCATCTCCGTTCCAAATGATAACAGAATGGCTTGAGGATATACTCCACGGCTGAGGCCAATGCTGCTGACCCGAGCATCTGCCCCGCTTACACCAGGTCTTCCTTTTCTGGCTCTACTTGCGCACGGGCTCAGATCTGATCTGCCCTCCACTTGGGCACAGCCTCGGATCTGATCTGCGCTCTGCGCTCCACTTGGGCACAGGCTCGGTTCAACCTCCTCGACGCATGTCCATCGCTCGACGATCTTGAGTCGAGAAATTCTGGTTACGCCCCTCCGTTCTGGGTCGCTCCTGGCTCCGATCGGCCTAAAGGATTTCAACTCTGCACCTCCCAGGACGAAAAAAAAAAAACAAAAAAAAAAAACAAAAAAAAAACAAACACTGTATGTCGAAGTGGTTATCTCTGACGACCCTGACCTTCACTGGCGCCCGAAGCGCCTTCTCCGCGCTGTTTGTCACGACTTCCTTATAGATCTTCCTCCTCGATTTCTTCCATCTCCCTATTCTCCTTAAAGAAGCCTACATCGTCTCTTTTAAGCCACCCTTCTTTCCGAAGACCGCGTTATTTTTTTTATCGTCGTCGTCATTATTCTCTTCGCTGAATGAGGTTACCCTTTGATGTCCGCCGTCATCGACCGGCATTCGCGACCTCAGGATCGTCTTCAAAACTGTCGTCTGTCGTTTACTACAATTCACTCCGCCTCCTCGTCATATGATCATAGACACTTAAATTTTATGTCGTCTTTCCCCTCCATGACAGTTCTACTCGTTTGTGTTCTTCCCTTTTCTTTTTTTTTTTCTTTTTTTCACTTAAATACGCTGGTTTTTCGTAAGTTATTTGTTGAGCGTCTGCAGGTCAATTGGCCATATTGCTTGCCATTCTTCATGGGTGGTAGAGTCTGGCGGCCCGAAAGGCAAAGGGCTATGTGGCTAAGAGGCTAAGTGGCGAGCCTCCTCCTGATGAGACGGGAGCGGAGCGCACCCGGTTGAAACCTGATGAGAGGAAAGCGTGCGCGGTTTGAGCAGTGTGAACACGCTTGTATGAAACGAAGTTATTCTATTTGCGTGTGAAGAGCAATGTGGCCATTGCTTACCTCCTCCTCCTCCTTCTTCTTCTTCTTCTTCTTCTCATCTTGGGGCTTAACTTTCACCCCAGTCCACTTAGCCGTTTGGTTGAGTGTTTGCCTCTTAACGTGGAGGTCACGTGTTCGATCCTTGGATCGGTGCGGACGGACAGATTGCTGTCTGGAGTAAGTTTCACTTCACTTCTTCTTCTTCTTCTTCTTCTTCTTCTTCTTCTTCTCCTCTTTCCTGTCCTTCCTAACGAGAGTTGTATTGTTTTCATTCCAAAGTTTTGAAATCCGTGTCCATGCGCAACTGGACATTGTGTTTGTCACTATTTCCTCTTTCTTCTTCCTTTCCCCTTCTTATCTTCTCCTTTCTTTTCTTCCTGTCATCTTCTTCTCCTCCCTCTTCTCTCTCTTCTGAGCCCCTTCGTACAGCCCCTCCTTTCTTCTCCTCTCCTCCTCCACCGACTTCTTTTCTCTCTTCTATTTCTGTTATCCTCTTCGCCTTTTCCTTTTTCTCTCCTCTCTTCTCTCCTCACTTCATTGGCCGCGCTTTTTTCTTCCTGACCCGTTTCTCTTCTTCGTTTCCTTGAAGTTCTCCTTTGTTTTCTCCCTTTTTTCTTCTCTCCTTGTCAATCCCCGTCTTGATTCCACAATACTTGTTACTCTCTCTCTCTCTCTCTCTCTCTC